AAAAAAAAAAAAAAATAAAAGACTGTGGGACAGAGCAGGGGGTGGGAACATGGCTGATCCACAGTCCTTGCTTGCCTCATGAGCACTCACCCTGCCCAGAGCATACCTCTACTTCCTCTGGCCAGGATAGCTGGGCCTTAGCAAAAGTCCCATGGTGTGAGCCTGCTACAGGTATCCCATGTGCTGTCCTCGGTGATATCCTGTGCCAGAAACTTTGGGGCACATGGGACAGGGCCAGCTAGACTCTGGGCCCTTCAGCATACCCCCAGGACTGGGGAGGGCCAGGTTTGCTCACATATCCTCACCAGCCCTGGGCTATCCTTCACCTGCAGCCTGGCAACCCCATGGCCTCGAGTAGCACTGAGTCTGGCTCTCCTCTGGGGTCAGGAGGAGCCCTACCTAGTCACATCAGTGTGGCCCAGGGTGACCCTTTCCAGAAAAATGGTCTACCACCATACATGAGATACAATGAATGAGCAGGAGTCTCTTTTTTTGAGTTGGAGTCTCACTCTATCGCCCAGGCTGGAGGGCAGTGGTACACTCATGGCCACCTCAGTGTCAACTTGCTGGGCTCCAGTGATCCTTCCGCCTCAGCCTTCCAAGTAGCTGGAACTACAGGAGCATGCTACCATGCCCGGTTAATTTTTGATTTATTGTAGAAATGAGGTCAAGTTGCCCGGGCTGGTCTCAAACCCACGGGCTCAGGCAATCCACTCACCTAGGCCTCCCAAAGAGCTGGAATTACAGGTTGAGCCATTGAGCCCAGCGGAGCAGGAGTCTCTTGCTGGTGTTATATGCACTTTCCTCAACCAAGATGGAGACCAGACCCCCTGGATACAGAGAAGTGCCTACTCTGGTCCCACGTTCACAGCGACCTCAGTCCTCCCCCGGGACCATGGCTCTGTCTTTGTGACAGCTTGGAAGGGCCCTGGTTGCAGGCTGTGGACTGTAAAGTCAAGTTCTACTGCTTAGTGTGGGTAAGTCACTTCACTTCCTGTGCCCAGTGTCCTCACCCCCAAAATGGGCTAATGCTAACAGTACCTACCTCACTTTGCTGGAGAGAGGATGAAATGGATTAATGCTTGTAGGACTCTGAGAAAAGGGCCTGGCACACAGGAGCCTCTGTGTGTGTGTGTGTGTGTGTGTGTGTATTTTGAGACCTTTGGGTACCACTTTTCTCCTGCAATGGGACATAGGGGGCATTTTGCCTTGGGAGGGTACAGTTGCTTCCCTCGGCTCAGCTGTATGCTGCCCCTCAGTTCCTGATGCCAGTTCAAAATGCCAGCTCTCCCCCCCCCACCGGTTGCCATGGTTATTGCTTCAGAGCCTGGCCTCCATCTGGCCAGCCCTGCCAGGGCTGAGAGGCCCCTCACTTGCCCGAGAGGCCTCCTGGGGTCGGAGGCAGGGCTGCCAGGGGCTGTGACTCAGCGCGCCTGGGAAGGGCCCTCGATGGCAGAGACAGAGCTGAGCTGTGGGAGCTGTGAGCCCCACCCCACCACTGGTGTCAGCAAGGGAAACAGGAAGGATGAAGGAGATAGAGAGGTAGGGGTCCACGCAGGGAGAGAGAATGGCCTCCAGGTCAGGAGGGAGCCCTGGATAAGGGCAAAGAGGGGTAAGGGAGAAGGGAAGGGGCTTGGCACCACCCCTTCCCACACCCCAGGCCCACTTTAAGAAGGTCTTAGATAATGATAATGGGCCCCCCAACAGGGGATTCCAAATAGAAGCAATCCTAAAACTCTCAGTCCAACAAAAGTCTGCCTTACCCCAAGAAACTGTTTTTTATTTATTTATGAGTATTTATTCTGAGTCAGGGTCTCACTCTGTTGCCCAGGCTGCAGTGCAGTGGCACAATCACGGCTCACCGCAGCCTCAACTTCCTGGGCTCCGGCAGTCCTTCTACCTCAGCCTCCTAGGTAGCTGGGACTACAGGTGAATGCCACCACGCTCGGCTAACTTTTTGCCTTGCTGCCCAGGCTGGTCCCAAACTCCTGGGTCAAGCAATCCTTTTGCCTTGGCCTCCCAAGCCTTTGGGGCTATAGGCATGAGTCACCGCACCTGGCCTGAAACTGTTATTTGAATTAACACATACTTCAAAAAACAAAGTCTGCAATTTTGATATGATCAGGCTTTGTTTATGCCCTAAGCACATACTTAGTGGTGGTTTGGGGCAACCTCTGTTTGAATGCCCACCACCTCCTGGCATAACTACCCACACCTGCATGCCTAGTCAGCTGCCACCTGGCCAGGCCTTTTGGGAGCAAAATCACTGTCCTCTCTCTGGGGAGCCGAAGTCAAGGGACTCACACCAGAAAAGGCATTTCCTGTGCTTCCTAGGTCTCTCATTTTCATTTGTTTGCCCCCTCCTGCCTCTGGCTACAGAGCCGTGCTCTCCTACCAGGCATGGCCTGACCTGACCCTAGGCCAAGGTTTCACCTTCTGCCACAGCCAGCCAGCAGGACTGAGGTCAGCAGGGAGGAGATCAGAGGCGGGGCTGAGATCTACGGGAGGGGAAGGGGTCTCTATCCCAGAAGACCAGACAGACTCCAGAGGTTGGTTTTGCCCTGGGCTGAGATTTCTGCCCGCACTGAGGGCCAGCACAGGCCTTCATTCAATTCAGTCTAGGGAACGAGACAGATTCTCATTACTTGGACCATGAGGCGGGCAGACCTGCCCAAAGGCCAGAGAAGGAGGGACAGAGGGGGTCTGGAGTGGAGGGGAGGGTAGTCAAAGCCAGCATGCGGGGTGATTGAGGCTCAAAGCTCTCCAGGCCTCACAGGGGCAATGCAGGGCTTGTTCCTGAGGCCTGTGATTTCCTGGCCCAACCCCCTAGGCCCCAGTGGCCATGTAGGGAATTCCCCAGAATTTTCCAACTTCCTCATCTATAAAATGGGGGCAGTAATATGTACTTTTTTTTTTTTGAGCCTGAGTCTCACTGTCACTCAGGCTGGGGTGCAGTGGTATGCTCACGGATATTGCAGCCTCAACCTGCTGAGCTCAGGTGATCCTTCTGCCTCAGCCTTCCAAGTAGCTGGAACTATGCCACCTCGCCTGGCTAATTTTTTTAATTTACTGTAGAGACGAGGTCTCACATGTTGCCCTGTTTGGTCTCAACTCCCAGGCTCAGGCAAACCTCTTGCCTCGGCTTTCCAAAGTGCTGGGATCATAGGCGTGAGCTACTGCACCAGGCCTGGGGACAGTAACATGTACTTTATAAGTCGAATATGATCATTAAATGAAAAGATGAACCTAACAAGCTCAGCACAACGAGTACTCAGAACAATTCTGACCTTGGTGGCCACTATGCAGCTTTCAGCTGAGGGCAGTGCAGTGAGAGATGGTGGGGGGGAGGCGCGTGATCTCTCTAAGAGAGCAAGCACCCCTCCATTCCCCAATCTATCCTCCCCGAAGAGTATGGATGAGCCAGGAACACCTGGCTCATGTCAGCTTAGTGCAGTCACACATATGCTGGGAATGCACCTAGTACAGTCGAAGCAGTATGAACACGTACTCCTCCCTTGATGTCAACAGTTAAAGCACCCTACAGGCAGACGGAAGCTACTGGTGTGGAAGCATCTGCAATTAATTACCCAGGCCAGTGGACGTTTCCAGAACCACCTGACGCTGACATCAAGTAATGAGGATGGAATGCTGGGCCAAGCCTAATCAGGTCTCACCTCGCTCTGACCAGCTGGTGGCCTGCCCTCCCCCCGGCCATCCCAGGCCCTGGCATGTGTGGCAGCGACTTGGCATGCATATTCTCATGCAGCCCCCACCACATACCATCAGGCAGGTACTGGTATAATCGCCACTTTACAGAGGAGGAAACATGCTTAACTATGTCATGTAATAGTTCTTCAGTCTGCAGAGGTGAGGGTGTGACACTGGCTAGGAGCTTTCTCCATGTTTCTGGCCCAGGGCAGGGGCTTTGGGAAATAAATTCATGCTCTAAATTCTGCATAGACCCTTAAGGGTCTCCCAGGCCTTTTGGAGAGGCCTAAGGTTCCCTGATTCTCAGAGGACCCCAGACAATGTTAGTAGGCACCCAGCCCTCAGGAGCTGTTGGAAGAGGATTGGTCCTCCCCAACATGCAGTCCCCAGAGAGCACCAGAGTGGGGCTCAGAGTCTGCTGTTCCTGCAATCCAGCCTCAAGTGCAGCTGCCAGGAAGCAATGGTGCCAAGGTCAGGAGAGGTGACGGCTGTGATCTTTGCCCCTTTGCTGGTCTACATGGGCTCAAGCAAAAGCCACGAGGCTGCCAACGCCGGGAGTAGATCATCAATAATACAAGCTGCTAGTGACCCAGCTATGGGACTGATTGGTGGGGGAGGTTAGGACACAAGCCCCCTCTGCCCTGAGACATGACTTGGAGGGCTTTCCAGGGCTCATAAATAAGCACTTGGCTGAACTCTGCAGCTGGAGAGGCAAGACCCACGGCCATGTGTAACCTCCTGAGACAAGAGCAGTCAGGAGTCGCAGCCAGGGGTCCCTCTGTTCCATGAGACCAGAAGGCCCAGAGAAGACTCATCTCTGACCCCGGCCCGGGAGGGGAGTCCCCTCAGAGGCTGGTGATAGCAATGGCTTCCTGAGCATCTACTGTGTTCCAGGCACTTGACTGCCCACCCTAAGAACTCCTTTAAAAGACTCAAAAAGCCAAGCGTATGGCTTTTCCGTCTTAAAGACGAATTAAAAGTTTGGAGATTTCTATGGTCAGAGCTCCTGTGGGACCCAGTGTGGATCGACATTAATCCACGGCCAGTTTTTACAGAGTGCTTGCTGTGTGCCTGGCCCCATGACAAGCGTCTTCCATGGGCATTTCACTCCATCATCTCAACACTACAACTGCACGAGGAAGGTTAGTTATTGTTATCGTTCCCATTGCATAGACAAGGAAACTGAGGCCCAGAGATTACATTCTTAGTCCAAGGTGGCAATTCGAACCCAGGCATTCTGGCTCCAGAGCCAAGCCCTAGCCCCAGCCCTTAGCCTCTAAGGAAAAACTGTCAGTATTTCTGGAACACTCGCATGGCTTATTGGACAAGGGAATAGAATACAGAACAGAGAGGGGCTAAAAGGGAATCCCAGGAATGGTAGGTCACTTACCTGGAAAGCCGCCCTTCCCTCCTCGCGCCCTGCCCTGATGGCCCCCTAGCCTGGGTTGCCCGGCTCACCTCACCACAGGCTCTGGAATGGCCTCTGCACCAGCGGGCACCTGCACACCCTTCTCCCATTCCTGTCGCCACGGGTCCGCCAGGATGTAGTAGTCATCTGGACTGAGCTGGTATGAGTCTGGGATCTTCATGGCTGTGATTAAGTCTGTCCGGAAAACCTACCAGGAGCAAGAGGGGAAAGAGTGGCTTCAGGCTGCCGCAGGGAAATCTGCTGCAGAGGCCAGAGAAGAGGCAAATAAACGTAGCTAGAATGCCCACTCACTTACCAATAAGAAGAAAGCAAAGGAGCAGTAAGCACGAGGGGGACCCAAAAAAGCCCGGAATCATCTTTTGGAGGGCTGGCCCCTTGGAGGACAGGCTTTCCCCACTCCGTAAGTGTTCTAGCACCAGTGAATTTTTTTGCAGAGTCTCTCAACTCATTTGCCCATTTCATGATGGGTTATTTACAACGAACAACCCACCCACCCTGCACTGAGTGTTCAGCAGTTTTTGACCAAAAAGTTAGCATGATCCCTTGTGCCCTGCTCTCCCTATTCACCCGATCTTGTCCAGAGCAATTTCGGCTTCACCAGATGAAAAAAGTCCTTCAAGGGAATTATTTTGCCGATGTGGAAGAGGTGAAACAAAAAATGCAGAAGCACTAAAAGGCATCAAAATTGACAAATTTAAAAACTGTTTAGAGCAGTAAAAAAAGCACCTCGACAGGCGTATTGTATCTATCAGAGAGTACTCTGAAGGTGACTGAAGGTTAAACATGTAAGAACACACAACTTTTTATAAATAAATCCTGGGGTTTTTTTTTTTTTTTTTTTAGTCCCCCCTCATACAATAAAGAACTCATCCTCTCTGAACTCAGCACATGCCCTGGATATAGTACATAATCCATAAATGTGATGAAGTGAGTTCACATTGTTCTGACTTACTAAAGGATAGAATTTGCGTGATAGATGGGAGTGGACCTAAGAGAAGGAGAAAGACTTGCAGAAAAAGGTCAAAAAATAAAGTAAAATAAAATAAAGAAACAGAACAAAAACAACACTAGGAAAACCTCAGAGGGCAGAAAGGCTTCTGTGAAAACAATACTGTCATTATGTGACTGTCCAGGGAATTTCATTGCAGGTTTACAATCATGTCTGTTTGTACCCACAGGTACGACTAGAGACGTAAAATAGCACAGGGTGCCAACCCAGGATGGCCAGGGGTGTGGGACAGCCTCAAGGGCGGCTTCGTAGGAGTCGGGTCCTCCAACATCTCTGGCAGGGGCTCACGCCCATAACCCCAGCATTTTTGTTGGCTGAGGCAAGAAGATTGCCTGAGTCCGGGGTTCGAGACCAGCCTGGGGAACTTGGCGAGACCACGCTTCTACAAAAAATTAGCTGGGCTTGGTGGCATGTGCCTGTAGTCCCAGCTTCTAAAGAGGCTGAGGTGGAGGGATTGCCTGATCCCAGTAGGCTGGGTCTGTGGACGCCACGATCATGCCACCACACTCCAGCCAAGGCAACAGAGTGAGCCTCCAACTCAAAAAAAAAAGAATAAGGGCACTAATTTGACAGGAGCTCTACATTACCGCCCTCTGTGTGTGATAGAGTAGGAGGGACAGGGCTATCTTCCTTCTTATTCAAGCCCATCCAAATTTCTTAGAGCCAAGCCACGAGTTATCACGCCCTGAGCACCTGTTCACTCAGGGGCAAACGCCTCCCACCGTTGTCTACTGCCTCCTGCTGCCTGATCTCACTGTGACCGCGCCACAAAGTGCTACTGGGGGGGTGTGGTGGTACCTCTAGACAACCGTGTGACTTACTCAGGTACTGACTTTCCCAGTGATCTTCACTTAAGAATCACAAATTCAAGAACGTACATCACTAAGACAAGAGAAAACACTTCAAGGAGTACTCCAGGCCTCAGACCCAAACTCTAAACCCATCTTCCCAGAAAAAGCCAGCAACCACTGCTGTGCCTGGGGCCAACTCTGCTCACTTGGCCTTTCAGAAGCTCATGACAAACCAATTCAGGGTAACCTCTGCCTGCTGGGGCCCACTCACTGGCTGTGTGTGCCTCCTTTGAATCTAGGTCCATAACTATGAGGAAAACACCGAAATGGATGCACTGAAGGACCTGGAAGCTGCATCCTGCAGAATCTAATAATTAATGTCTGCATCTAGCTAGAGATGGCCCTGGCTTGAAAAAGGTCAAGTTTCTTGAAAACTCTATTTGCCAATATAATCTAATTGTTAGGAATAACACCCTAACATTTCATTAGGGTGCCAGTGTGAAAAAATTAAAATCAGATTACAATTAAATGCTAATTAAACAGAAGAGGAAATGTGGCTAAGATTTCACAGCACTGATAATTTGCATATCTTATTAGCAAGTAGTAAAACAGCTAATGCAAGAGCACACACTCAGGCACTGGGTGCTTTGGGGGGCGCTCAGGAGCCCCCTTTGCTGGCTGGGTCCTGTGCCAGTGGAAGCCTCTGGAGACTGTCAAGCTCAGCAGGCATGGCCTGGGTCATTTTCATATCTGGCAAGAGTGAACTGACCCCAAAGTGTTTCACAACTGCCCCAAAGTTCTCCCAGCCCAAGCAAGCCAAGTGGTGTGACATCACAAGTCGTGCTGCTCTGATGCCTCAAAAATCACCCACCTGGGACAGCCCATATCCTGACAGCCCAAACCCCAGAAATTAACCTTACAGCCGAGTGTCACATGTGCCCTCCAAAGAGGAATGAGGGGGTTAGAAATCTCTTGTGCTTCCCTCATGCTGAGCTGTAACCTGTCACCTCCTGGGGATTCCTTACCGATCACCAGCTTTCGCGGTCCCCTCCCCTGCCTCACTTTCTTCCCAGCACCTTACACTCCTAGAAAGTATCTGGTTGACTCATGTTGCTGGTTTCTGGTCGTCTCCCTGGCCACACCCGTCCTGCTGTCAACTATATTCTCAGTGGAATAGAGGGGCCTCCCTAGAGAGTTATCTGAAGAGTCTGAGGCTTCTAGCTGTTCTGGCAGGACTTTCTGAACTCCCATGAACAGGGTGAAATACCTCGTGAATAGCCCCAGAGGCCGAAATCCCCAGTCATATGGATCTGAACAAGGGCCTCTGCGCAACAGGCAGCATCTATTCTGCAGGGCTTGAAACCCAAGGACCAGGACTGGCACTGAGACTCAGAGCAGAAAGGGATCCCAGGCTCAACTTAACAGTTTCTTCCTAGTACAGTCAGGGAGATTCAGGACAGACAAGAAAAAGCCTGGTTCCAAGAGAGTTCCAAGTCTCATCCTGGGCCACTTAGGGCACAGGTAGCAGACTGGATGCCAGAAGCCCTTTCAGGAATCCTGGAAGCACAGGGAGGGCCGCACTATCATGATGGTATCAACTAACACTTAGCATTGTGTGCAGAGTAACAGTCTAAGAGCTGTTCTTGAACTATGATTAGCCCCTACATGAACTTCTTAAGGGAGGTACAACCAGCATCCCCATTTTACAGTTGAGAAACCTGGGGCTCGGGTTAGTTAAATCGCCTACCCAAGGTCTGCATGTTGGAAGTGGCAAAGGAACTTAGGCCAAGACAACCCCTGAGCCATCCAGCATGTCTCTGCACCCTCCCTGCCCCTTTTGGCCACGTGCTCACTGCCTAATGCCCTTGTGTTAACTTGAAACCAAGTCAGGTGGCTTTGACTGGACACTGGCTCACACCTATAATCCTAGCATTTTGGGAGGCAGAGGCAGCGGCAGAGGCAAAAGGATTGCTTGAGCCTGGAGTTCAAGACCAGTCTGGGCAATTGAGCAAGACCTTGTTTCCACAAAAAATTTTAAAAATTAGCCAGGCGTGGTGCACGAGCCTATAGTCCCAGCTACTTGGGAGGCTGAGGCAGAAAACAAAACAAAACAAATCAGGTGGCTTCCCCAAGGGCTGAAATATGCAAATCTGACCAAGACCTTTGCAAGCCCCAAGCCCTCCAGTGACTCTCCACTGTCCTCCCCCCATGCTCAGACTGAACTGCAGAGCAGATGAGGCCTGTGGCCACTCGAATGCACTTGCAGTCTCCCAAGTGCTTACCATTTGCACACGGGAGTACCCTGCCAGAGACACACACCTGACTTGCCAAAGGGGGCTAGCGCACTTCATCCTCAAGGTCTCAGTCCAGCCCACATCAGCTATGGAAGACCTTCCCCAACCCCAGGCTGGCTTCTGGGCTTTGTCTGAAGACCCACAGCCCCTGTATTGGCATCTCCCAAGTTTCTTCCCTGCTGGAAGGTGAGCTCAGGGAGCCCTGTCTGGGCTACAAGGTTGGAGCCCAGCAGTACAAGCAGGGCTTAGCATGTGCTAGGCACTAACAGATGTTAAATGACACAAGATCCTTCTGCAGACCAGCCACTACCTTTTTTGATGGCTGTCCACGGCTACAACTGGGTACTCACCTCCCAGATGAGACTGTACACTTATATTAAAAACTGCTCACAAATATGGCAGCCAGAGTGTAACCTAAACATCATTTTGCTTTGAATTGCCAGGGGTTAGGCCTGGAAAAAGCTTAATTATTCTCCTAAAATTCCTTTGAATGATTGATGGAAACTACATAAAGAATAAAATGAACGCTGATGAACGGGAAGCCTTACTGTGTCAAAAAAGTTGGAAGCTGGAAAATAAGCAATTTTCTTAGAATGTGAATGTTTACTATTTTTCTCCCTTTTGGCAGAAATTGACAAATTGTCTTTAAAGGTCTGCTGCTTAGCAACCCAGTTCTGCTGAGCTGCTTGGGAGATGTTAATTGTAGCTACGCCAGGCCAGGCATGGTGGCTCATGCCTGTAATCCCAATGCATTGGGAGGCTGCGGTGGGAGGATCACTTGAGGCCAGGAGTTCAAGACTAGCCTGCGTGGGCATAGCGAGACCTCATCTCTACAAAAAAAATTTTTTTTAAATAGCTGGGTGTGGGTAGCGCATGCCTGTAGTCCTAGCTACTCAGGAGGCTGAGGTGGAAGGGTCGCTTGAGCCCAAGAGGTCGAGGCTGTGGTGAGCTGTGACTGAGCCACTCCAGCCTGGGTAACAGAATGAAAACCTGATTTTTATTTTTTTAATTGTAGTTTCTTCCAACGGTATGAAGAATGTTTAAAGGCCTCAAACTCCCATCGAATCACCAATCTGAGTGTGGGGGTGTCAAT